ATCGTGGGTTTGAATCCCACTCGGGGCATGGTTGTCTGTCCGCACTCACTCTGTCTTTGTATTGTCCTCGCGACACTGCTGATCATCCGTCCAATTGTCTGCACGTTTCAAAATTTCAGAATTAATTCTGATTGGGATCAGGCAGCGGTAGTGTAGTTGGTTGAGTCACTATGCTACAAGCCGGAAGGTCGCGGGATCGAATCCCGATGAGGTCATTGGATTTTTTTTAATCTACCTAATCCTTCAAGCCGCATCATGGCCCTGGGGTCGACTCAACCTCTAACAGAAATGAGTACCAGGCATATTCTTGGAATGTTCTTGGGGGTAAAGGGCGGCCGGCGCGTAGGGCTGACAACCTTGCCGCCATCTATGAGCCGATTGTCTAGAAAATGTGGGAACCTCAACGTCTCACAACCCTATGGGCCTCCACGGCCTGTTAAGGGATACCTTTACTTTACTTTACTTTTTTGGAGATCAGGCCAGAATGCATAACTCATCAAGACAGAAGGAGAATAGCACAGTATAAATGGGCCTGATTCTCAAGCTGAAAGTACCCGTTTCGACTTTCCTTTCCCTTCATTATTCTTCATTTCCCTAATCAAATAATAATTCGTTTCTCCGTACACTCGATGCCAAATAACTTGTTATTGATATAGCGTCATTAAATAACCGAAGAGCGAACCAGTCAAACTCCCTGAAGTAGAATATTGAAGAAGCTAATAGTCGCTTAACCAGACACGAATCCCTCGCCTTTTATAGGACCCGAAATTCCATTACTGTGTTCACAAGAGTCTGTCACTTGTCCACATTCCGAAGCAGGTGAAACCTGTTCGTAGCTTCACTGTATTTCTTGTTTCTTCTTGTTTGGTCAAGGAAATATTTGAAAAATGCTATCTTCTGGGATGTGGCGCCGTGTAGGTTTTCTGCAGCCACCTTCAGACGCTGGTTCCTCCTCGCGGATTTTTCTACCCTGAAGATGGAGGCGATACATTCATCCGAAACGTCGGTTCACACAAGATCTATCTACACGGTGCCGCATACCAGAAGACGGCATTCTTCATAGTCACCGCCGTGAAAACTTCTAGTCTTACATAATGAAATATTTGTTATGTGAGGAGTACAAATGGCTCATTACGCAATTTTGTACAGCCATTAGTTACCAACCAGCAAACTGCAAGCAGAAGTTGATTTGCGTTACACGGTATGATTCCTTTGTCTGTAGCAAGGTCAAGAATATTTACACGTGCTCCGTCATCTTGCAGTGGCAGCCTAGAAATCATGCAACACATGAGACTTGTGTATTCGCGCTGTGTTATTTAGTGAAGAAATCAAGTCAAAAATTTCCCAGTTCTCTTGTGTCAAAAACATTACTTTGGATAAAGCTAGAGCCACGGGTCTTTTTATTTTATTCCAGTAATATCTAGATTGTGAGTGCATAGTGGATTCGACACTTCCTACAGACTTCCTAATAAACAAGAGTATGCTGGAGGTCCCTGGTTCAAATTTCGGTTCGAATACAGCCTATCCTCATTGGTATTTCATGGTTATCATTTTCTCCAAGCAAATGTCGGATTAATAACTGAGATGACGACACAGCCTTTAAATTTACTTTAATTCACTAAACACATTACTGTTCAACGTCATTTAATCGTTAAATAAATATCTACCTACCACTCGGGACTACAGCCTTGGGTGAGCCTTGGCCTCCTCTACAACCAGTCTCCACAAGCAGTGCGTGCTGCCTTAGGAATGGGTCCACGCATGATGATCCGAGGCTGGTTGTTAGGTTTCTGAACAAAATTATTTTTACAGAATGGGGTTGTTAGCCTCATGTCCTGGAGGACCAGGGTATCTCTCTTAGTCTGGACTCTACCCTTTGACCTTTCCGGCATGGGTTACCCTTCCGGTATTTAAACTACCGCCGGCATAGCTCTCCAGGTCACCGAGTCACGCAAGCCCCACCACCACGACAAGGTGGAAACACCTTTGGGGGGTCGTTAAATATATAACAAATCATTAAATAACAGATAATGAAGCGAAACATTTTACAAAATCGGAATAGACAAACATTCAGCAAGACAACTTCAACTTAACTACGTATTAAGGTTTTGGAAGTTTCTGCCCAAGACCACAATGCTAGTTATTGCCACAGCCGTTTGTAATTCCTCTCTTTTCTGAGTGGATCATGATTCAAAGAACTGGTAGTCTGTTAGATTTTGTTCGTCGGTGAAAGCCGTTGCTCCTGTTAACATACCAGCGAACCTCAATGTATACAGCACCTCTGGTGTGAACACAACATAACAGTTTGCGACCTTAGTTCACTTGTTTGTGGGTTTGGATCCCACCTCGGATGTGAATGTTACGTTTGCTTTCGTTCCATCATTAGAAGAAAAAATTTTCTGCCGTTGAAAGTTGAACATCAAAGCTACGAAATAAAATAATTCGCGTATACAAACCACAGCTTCCCTAACATTGTAAAACCGAGCAGGGTAGTACAAAGGTAACGCCCTAGACTTGCACGCAGGAGACACCTGGTTCGAATGCAAATCAATTCACCGGTTAATTCGGCGGCGAATCTTGAGTCAGTGAAATGCAAACACGTGTGGATAGGGATTCCAATGCCTCCACCATAGTCCTGCGAGTAGTAGGAGGCGACGAAAATGGAATCCAGTGCATGAGGTTATAACTGAGGCACCCTGTTCCTGGTGGATATAAGTACGGGAACATGGACCTCCAGGTTGGTGAAGTCTCCGAATCAGAGTTAGTAAAACATGGTCATGAGTCTTACGGGACTCAGACCCGACAATGATTGGCAGACCCGTCCTCTCGTCAGAGAGGATGTCCCACATCAACAAACCCGCAACCGTCTGACAGTACTAAGTCTCTAGTCATGGGCCTCAGATGGGGATTCACAAGAAGAGAGACTGGTCGACTGGCCGTCGGTCGTAACATAACCTTGACTTTGACTCTGACTTGTGAGTTAGTTCGACAGGTGGAAACCAATTAGTTCAGCTCTGGAGCTGCAGCTGAATGGTACCAGGCAGCACGGACATGTGCCACTGGACATGGAAACCGAGGACGCAACACAGTTGGTAGCCGGTACCAGGCAGCACAGTGAAGACCGTGACGGGAAACACCAGTCTGTGTGTGATAGTGTTGCGTAAAGCTGTGTATTAAGGTGTCCAATAAATCCGATTACCAATCAAAACCTCGTATGTAGTCACTCCATCACGTGATAATATATTACATGCACTTTGTCACTCATGTAAGAAACAAAGGTTTATGATTTGTTATTCTAATTCCCTGCAGATTAGTTCTTGTTAAGCTGGGGCGCGGTTCGTCTTCATCTTTCGCCTCGGTAAAACCCTGCCCGGTTTTAAATGTATTCTTCACCATTTGCAGGAAGAAACAATGGGTTGTGCCTAAGCTAACGTGTCTTGTCACTGTCTGTGTCACTACCGTGCTTATATTACAGGATAACAGGAAGGGAAACCCCATGACGTCAACAAAATATCCCTCCGCACAAATAATTTGGGGTAGCGTAAGTTTTGTTGCAAAGGGGCCAATTCAAGAAGTTAAAAACCTAGTCCATGAGCAAGCTAATGTTACTCACAAAATTCATAATCTTTAATACATATGTATGGATCGTTTTGAATTAAGAACGTTAATGTCTGAAAAGGAAAAGTATATGACATTTAACACCCTTATGACGAAATAAATACGTCAGCGAAAAAAAGTGCATTAGACGCAAGTAAGGATGTTTGTTCAGAAATTCAGGTAAAATTAAATACGTTTCACCACAAAAAAAAAGGAAAAAATATTAATATTCTTAATAAAACCGCAAGAATGTGTAAAAGTTCAAATATCTGGGAATGAGATTATACACGTACTTACTTATGGTGCAACTTTACCTTTTTACCATATGTAGAGAATTTATGTAGAGAATTGTTACTGCGCAAACAATCTCCGTTAACCAGTAGTGTTAGAAATAACATTGTTTGAGACGTCATTTTCCACAAGGTTGAAACCTGTGGAGCAATTCATATGATACGGACTAATCGCAAATTTAGGTCATGCATATCNACAGAATGGGGTTGTTAGCCTCATGTCCTGGAGGACCAGGGTATCTCTCTTAGTCTGGACTCTACCCTTTGACCTTTCCGGCATGGGTTACCCTTCCGGTATTTAAACTACCGCCGGCATAGCTCTCCAGGTCACCGAGTCACGCAAGCCCCACCACCACGACAAGGTGGAAACACCTTTGGGGGGTCGTTAAATATATAACAAATCATTAAATAACAGATAATGAAGCGAAACATTTTACAAAATCGGAATAGACAAACATTCAGCAAGACAACTTCAACTTAACTACGTATTAAGGTTTTGGAAGTTTCTGCCCAAGACCACAATGCTAGTTATTGCCACAGCCGTTTGTAATTCCTCTCTTTTCTGAGTGGATCATGATTCAAAGAACTGGTAGTCTGTTAGATTTTGTTCGTCGGTGAAAGCCGTTGCTCCTGTTAACATACCAGCGAACCTCAATGTATACAGCACCTCTGGTGTGAACACAACATAACAGTTTGCGACCTTAGTTCACTTGTTTGTGGGTTTGGATCCCACCTCGGATGTGAATGTTACGTTTGCTTTCGTTCCATCATTAGAAGAAAAAATTTTCTGCCGTTGAAAGTTGAACATCAAAGCTACGAAATAAAATAATTCGCGTATACAAACCACAGCTTCCCTAACATTGTAAAACCGAGCAGGGTAGTACAAAGGTAACGCCCTAGACTTGCACGCAGGAGACACCTGGTTCGAATGCAAATCAATTCACCGGTTAATTCGGCGGCGAATCTTGAGTCAGTGAAATGCAAACACGTGTGGATAGGGATTCCAATGCCTCCACCATAGTCCTGCGAGTAGTAGGAGGCGACGAAAATGGAATCCAGTGCATGAGGTTATAACTGAGGCACCCTGTTCCTGGTGGATATAAGTACGGGAACATGGACCTCCAGGTTGGTGAAGTCTCCGAATCAGAGTTAGTAAAACATGGTCATGAGTCTTACGGGACTCAGACCCGACAATGATTGGCAGACCCGTCCTCTCGTCAGAGAGGATGTCCCACATCAACAAACCCGCAACCGTCTGACAGTACTAAGTCTCTAGTCATGGGCCTCAGATGGGGATTCACAAGAAGAGAGACTGGTCGACTGGCCGTCGGTCGTAACATAACCTTGACTTTGACTCTGACTTGTGAGTTAGTTCGACAGGTGGAAACCAATTAGTTCAGCTCTGGAGCTGCAGCTGAATGGTACCAGGCAGCACGGACATGTGCCACTGGACATGGAAACCGAGGACGCAACACAGTTGGTAGCCGGTACCAGGCAGCACAGTGAAGACCGTGACGGGAAACACCAGTCTGTGTGTGATAGTGTTGCGTAAAGCTGTGTATTAAGGTGTCCAATAAATCCGATTACCAATCAAAACCTCGTATGTAGTCACTCCATCACGTGATAATATATTACATGCACTTTGTCACTCATGTAAGAAACAAAGGTTTATGATTTGTTATTCTAATTCCCTGCAGATTAGTTCTTGTTAAGCTGGGGCGCGGTTCGTCTTCATCTTTCGCCTCGGTAAAACCCTGCCCGGTTTTAAATGTATTCTTCACCATTTGCAGGAAGAAACAATGGGTTGTGCCTAAGCTAACGTGTCTTGTCACTGTCTGTGTCACTACCGTGCTTATATTACAGGATAACAGGAAGGGAAACCCCATGACGTCAACAAAATATCCCTCCGCACAAATAATTTGGGGTAGCGTAAGTTTTGTTGCAAAGGGGCCAATTCAAGAAGTTAAAAACCTAGTCCATGAGCAAGCTAATGTTACTCACAAAATTCATAATCTTTAATACATATGTATGGATCGTTTTGAATTAAGAACGTTAATGTCTGAAAAGGAAAAGTATATGACATTTAACACCCTTATGACGAAATAAATACGTCAGCGAAAAAAAGTGCATTAGACGCAAGTAAGGATGTTTGTTCAGAAATTCAGGTAAAATTAAATACGTTTCACCACAAAAAAAAAGGAAAAAATATTAATATTCTTAATAAAACCGCAAGAATGTGTAAAAGTTCAAATATCTGGGAATGAGATTATACACGTACTTACTTATGGTGCAACTTTACCTTTTTACCATATGTAGAGAATTTATGTAGAGAATTGTTACTGCGCAAACAATCTCCGTTAACCAGTAGTGTTAGAAATAACATTGTTTGAGACGTCATTTTCCACAAGGTTGAAACCTGTGGAGCAATTCATATGATACGGACTAATCGCAAATTTAGGTCATGCATATCATGCAAATCCTCACGCTATACAGCAAGTGCCATTACATAGTGAAAAGGTGGGGGTGTGGTGTGCTGTAAGTCCGCGGCGAATCATTGGCCCCTTATTACTCCACAAAACCTTGAACTCTGACCGCCAAGTTAATGATATACTGAATCCATTCTTCAGTCAGCTGACTGCTGAATAAAGACAATGTGGGTATTTTCAGCAAGACAGCGCTACAGCACATACGGTTAATGCATTCACGGTCGCAATGCGGGAATTGTTTGAAGACAGAATAATCAGCAGGGAACTGTGGCCTCCAAGATCGCCAGATCCCAGTTTTTATTATTGATATCTTTGGGGAAACCAAAAAGGAAAAGTCCACAAGAATAATTCTCGCAGCACTGAAGATCTGCAGAACGAAATAACACGCGTAATTTGATTAATTCTGTGGCTGTGAAAGCAGATCCTAGCGAAACTCCGATTTTCTGTGCTAAAGGTCGTAACGATTTTCGAGGACCGACCTGTAGTCGTCCCTCAATATCCCGAAACCTTTCTTCAGTCAACACAATACTCTTCGCATGCTTCTTTATGTCACACACTGAACCTGTGGCCCACAACTTTTCCACAAGCTTGGATACACACGAATTTGTGGCAACTTGCAAGTCAGAATATTTACGACGAAACTTACTAGGCTGCCCGCTACTTGAGAACCATGTTATAAGCCTGAGGTGCTGTTTCTTTGTTAGCCCTACTACTGCGTTTTTTATTGCTAGTGGGGTGGGGCTAAGTCCCTTGTACTGCGTCCACGTCTATCCTATTGTACCAGCCCCAGATGATAAGTGGGTGTGATTGTGGAGCAATTGGTGGAATGAAGATTTGCAGGGGAAACCGAAGTACTCGGAGAAAACCTGCCTCAGCGCCAATTTGTCCATCACAAATCCCACTTGACCGACCCGGGATCGAACCCAGGCCGCCGCGGTAGGAATCCAGCGACTAACCGCTTGTGCTATGGCGCGGTACTGCTGCGACTGAAGTCGAAAAAGCATTCGATACCGGTACAGTCCAACATTCGACTTTAGTTCCACATCAAGAAATAATTATCTCATGTTGCAGCATTCCGCTTCATTCAGTGGGCTATGGACATGTATTTTTGTGGCGTTTTCTTTCATATTTTCACCTCAGAATTGCATTATTTGAAGAAAATTATGGGAAAATAATACGCAGCGGAAGAGGTAAATCACTGTCGCCATATTATACTTGTTTAAACCTTTAAACTGTACGGGACTCGGACCCAGTAACTCCCAGGACGGACCTTCGGTTACCGGATGTTATTCATAACCTCTTCCTGTCTGCATGTCAAGGGCTGTCGCTTAGAATCGAAACGTGATGACTATGGACATGAGACATCACATGTGACTTAACTGCACCCATGCCACGTACTAATCTCTCTTCGCTCATTACGCACATAAATCAGCGCAAGGGTTCATACCTAGAATACTGACTTACGTAAGAAATCTCTTTACCGAATTATTAACCCTCATTAACGCAATCATACTGTCACGGGTATTAGAGACTATAGACGGGTTTTGGGTTCCATGGTTTGATTTATTGAACCTTATACATTCACAACTTGGGACTACAGGTAATACAGGGCTATCGCTGATTTACACACTTTACGATTCACCGTTACGCACGCACTAGAGTTCTCAGTCTTCACTAGTCGTATCCTGGCATCGGATTTATAACAGTCGCACTGTCACTTCAAATCAGAAATAAAGTCTTCTTTGCATAGTCTAATCCATTTCTTGTCACTTCTTAATGGCCTTCGACTGCCATCTCCAAAACTCGTCTCAATTCTAGACAGTTTACCCAAATGACCTTCTTCCTCCCTTTATAACCCCTCGGCACGGACCATGCAGAAAACACAGCCTCTCTAGTGTTGAGGCTCGGTTACTGATCCGTTGCCTAGCAATTAACGTACTATTCTTGCGCGCATACACTTCCGCGGAAATGTGTTTACCGAGTCGTTGCCTAGCAATAGGCACTGAGAGATTTTCAGAGGATTCCGAAGCCGAAACAGTTAGGATGAAACTGGCGTCTCACGATATATTCTGAGTCGGGTCACCCTGTTTCAATGAGAATTCGAGTGAGTTTCAGATCAAGCACAATGACGTCAAACTGCTAACCGTAATATGGATATATTGGAATAATTTGGTGAACCACAGGACCACAGGATGTGTACATGTGGTGTAGCCAGTGGCAAGAATTGAGTAGACTGCACATTTCACTAAACATACAGCGACTAACCGCTTGAGCTATGGCGCGGCCCATATATTAATGTAACAAGATAGTTAAATATAATATTAAGAAAAGAAAACATTGGGTGCATCCGTTTATCTATGACAATTTAAACGGAGGTGCTTATATTGTTGCGAGAGAACTTACCAGGATCCAGACTCATTCATCTCTTTGAGAAATGCTTTCCCAAGCCAAATCTATTTTGTCATGTCTAGCATAGTCTGTGTGGCGTTTGTCGTATTTACCAGGCTCTTACTCAATTAACTGCACAAAAACAAAATTGTCAGCTTCGTCAAACTTTCGTTCCATCTTAAGGAACCAATGAATTACTGACGCTCGTTATTGAACACCTGACACTAAGAAACCACGCAGAAACACAACTGTGAGAAGACTGGCATGCTATGTTGCCTGGAAGTTGAGTTTCTCAGTGTTTCCGCGAGTTGCGTTGCCGTTTCCTCAATTTGCGCTGCTCCATTCAGTAACATGTGTTCAAATCAGGCTATTAACAATTTTCGGAAACTGAGGTTGCGTTGCGGTTGCCAGTTTCCTTGGTGTACGCCCGGCCTTACGGTTGCAGTTCCTACAGTTTTCTAAACATTTCTTTTGTAAAACGACCTCATGAAGCTGATCATGTAAGCAGGGGTGGAAACAGTTTTCAAAAGTAGGCAGACGTTCCAGGTCCGAGCAGGCCTCGGAGACTGAGCAACACATAGGAATGGAACTATTAACAGTGCTCGTTCCTACATGTATGGTTGTTGAGAACTGTAGTTCTGTCGCCATGAGGCAACGGGAAGAAAGATCGATGTGACACAAACTGGACGGTGTCTACTGGCACCTACCCCCTTTCCTATCCCTGCTTGTATGACCGAGACATGTGAAGTTGCCTGTTTCTTATTGAAATAAAGGTTTCGTGTTGATGGTGCGCTGTGATCACTGTAAAGTCACGTAGCATTTAAACAGTACTGCATTAATACATCCAGTTCAACATTCACGGGAAATCATATTTCAGGTAAGCTGACGTTAATGCGAGTGTCACGTGCTAATAATGAAATCTGCTGCATAATACTTAATGACGCTCGTTAAATCTCATTGTTCTAAAGAACTGCTTTCCCCCCCCCTTTAGTTTATCATCCGGTTCGAGCCGCCATTAACCTCATGCTTTAGGCATGTGTTCTACGAGTCTGAAGGCTTAGATAGTGCATAAACAGGGGCTCCATATGTAAGATTAGAAGTTTTCACGGCGGTGATTGTGAAGAATGACGTCTTCTGGGACGTGGCGCCGTGTAGATATTGTGTAAACTGACGTTTCGGAGGAACATTGGTTTACACAAGATCTACAAGGCGCCACATCCCAGAAGACGGCATTCTTTAGGAGCTCCATAA